TTTTTTTGCAAGCATTGTCCAAATCGCTGAAGAGCATTTCATTTCAAATCAAACACTCTCAAGTAATGGAAGCAAAATTAAAAACGGTCATATTTTCAATGGAAAAAAAAAAAAAAAGCATCTCCTTTGACACAAATAAACAATAAAGACGCAAATACAAAATGAGTCATTTCAAAACCGGGAAAATGTGAGCCGGTGCCAGTTTGTGCAGCAAAAGAGAAGTTATTCCGTTCGCCCATAATACCTTCACTACATATCTGTGGGCAACAAAGCCCAGATCTTGCCATAGCGTTCCCGCGCCAGGGTGGCAACGCACCGGTCGCTCACCGCCGCCAAGTTTTGCCGCCGCAAGACCACTGTTGAAATGTGCCGCTAAAAGATCAGCCATAGCATTTCCTGTCTCCGCTATCATGCAAAGGAGCTCCGAGCAGACTCACATTTTCACAACAAACTGAAAGCGGACAGAAATTGTCACAGAACACCACACAGCTAGAAGAAGACAGACGGCCTGGTAGTTACCATTTTGCACTCTCATCATAAATTTGGCACAGCGTTAAAAGTGGAGAAAAAAAAAAAATCTCCTGCAACAGTTTTTTTTTTTTCCCCTCCTGCGCTCCCCGATGTAAAGCAAGTGCTGGTTTGGCAAAGAGTGGAGAATTAATGGCAAGAGAAAAAAAAAAAGAGGGAATGTCAAAAATAATTAGCAGAATAAACTGCTTACTAAAAGAAGTGGGTTGGATTTTTTTTTTTTTTTTTAGGGAAAAAAAAATTAAGGAGATGAAAAAGTTCAGGTTTCACTGAAATAGGAACTTGGCCAGGTGGTCATTCGGCAAAAGCAGAGAATGAAAAAAAAAATGTCCAGCAAAATAGAATTAGTAACAGTAATGCACCATGGGGATTAAAAAAAAAAAAAAAAAAAAACTGAGATGATGCACTTAAAAATTCAACAATCCGTTGTGCCCCCCCTCCCCAAAAAAAACCTTGGAAAAAATCCTTGGCAAGAAGTCATTGGAAGTGGTGTCTGTTCTGATCCCTGGGCCCGGTGCAAGACTCACATACACATACATACACAGAGAGGCGAAGGGGGGGGGGCAGGGAGAGCAGAACACAGAATGGGGTGGGGAGGGAGGGAGGAAAGGAGAGTCGAATCAATGTTGGACGAGCGCATACGACCGCTGGCAAAGCCGAGTGCCGCTTCTTTTTTCCCCTTTTCTCTCCAACTCTCTCTCTCTTTCTCTTTCCGTTTTCCCGCTCGCCGTCTCTCGTCCTCGCCGCGCTCTTTCCCCAACCATTGCTTGAGCCTTTGCCAGCACAAGTAAGGCCCACCTATTTGGCAACGCGACGCCTGTAGCTCAGCCAATGCGTTTGCTTCAAGAGCTGAAAGGGAGGGAAGAGAGACAGAGGGAGAGCGCGGCGGTGGGAGAGGAGGAGGGAGGGTGGCAATGAGATGGAGAGAAGGGGGGGGGGGCGGGGGGGGGGCTGCCAGAGAGTGTGCAGCCTTGTCCAACGTCGCGCAATTTGCCAAATCGACAAGTTCCACTCTGACACAGAGACAAAGTTCAGGAGAGTAAGTCTTCCCCTGCACCGATCCCCCCGCAGCCCTCAGCCTGCCTCCATCTTTAGTATGGCTGCCATCGCCCGCCCCCCCCCCCCCAACCCGGCGCTCGGCTTGCATAATGCCACCTTGGCAGAGGATGGCACGGAGACGGACGCACAGCTTCAGAATCCCTCCAGACCAGCACCACCCGCAGCTGCTCGGGGGTTTACCACAGCAAACAAAGAGGGGGGTGAAACAAACCGAGCCGACCCCGGCTCTGACTGCGCGCACACACCAGGCACACACGCATGAACGGCGAAATGATTTCAAGGCACCGATACAGTCGAGGGGGTGGGGGGGGCTGGGGGATGCGCTAAAATGCAGAAACGGTCACAGATTTTTGAGAGAAAGGCAACAAGGGAGGCAAAAACAAAATTGCCTCAGCTGTTTCCGCACGAGGTAAATGCTCAGCAGAGTGTGATGTGCCGCCTCTGAATCCTAAAATAACACACATCCTTCCAAACTCCCATGACAATTTTGGGAAACCATTCTGCAAGTGGCGCCGGCTGCCATATTGCCTCATCACCCGCCCGGCAAGTCACTCAGGGTTGCACCTGCACTGCGGACAGCTACTCGTTCAATCCTCCTCGTAGATGAGGAAAATCACGCACGCACACACACACAACATATAGGCTTCATCTTTCAAGAGCTGGCATGCTTTCCTATCCACTGCAAAGACACAAACAAACCAAAAAAAAAAAAAAAAGGTCCACTGCAAAGACACAAACAAAACCAAAAAAAAATGGTCAACAGACTGCTGGAGCCAATAATTATGGAAAAAAAAACATCTGATGTTACAAATGGTTTCCTGTTGATGTCAAAATGTCTCAAATCGCTGCGATTCATTTTCATTAAGACTCTACCGACTCTTGTAAAAGCCCCCCCCCCTCCTCCCCAAATCAAAAAATCCCCACTGAGGTCACATGCTGTGACTTGCATCAAGCTTGAAATTGTAATCTAATCAATATAAATGCACATGAAGCAAACAGAGGAACTTAATCGACACGCACACGCACAATGCGAGTCATTGTCCCACGAATAAAACCGTGCCTCTTCCAATTCCAAACAGCAGAAGACCCGATCGAGCGTCATCACGGGGCCACAGAGGCAACACGGGCCTGGCGGAGAACTGACTGACTGACTCTCACTCATCACACCTCCACATTCATCCTCGCTCGGCTTCGGCTTCAGTCTCAGATGACTTGATCCCAAATTAGACAAAACAACAATGGAAGCCAATAGAGGAAAAGGGATTCACAAGTCTCATTGTGTTTGTTTCTGCGTAAATGCGTGTGGCGTGACCTCAGAGTCAAATTTGTATTTTTCTTTTTTTTTTTTTTTTGCCCGTACAAAAATCCAGGAACTCATCGCCCCATGCGATAAATTGACACTTGAATGCGATTCTTAAATGACGACTTTCCGGGCGACCCTGCCAACATGCAAATACGCCACCATTCAAATGTCACAAAAATTTGACTTTGAGGGGGTTGCAGTCAGTCTCCTGAGTCATACGAGTTGCCCGAAAACACCACCCAAGTACAAATCTTAAAGTGCCAAATCTTGTGGGAGGAAAAAGACAAAGCGGAACCCTACGTGGGTGAGCATTAGATCGGCGTGCCTGCTTTTCATGTGGGGCCCCCCTTACTTGAAAAGGGGAGATTCACTCAATCTGCTCCCAGGGGCCAATAGAAACAACACATGCAAGGTGACTTGAGGTCAATCTCTTTACCTGGGAATTACGTTCGGCCAAACGCAATTGGATTTAAGATTTAATTTCGCAAAGTGATTTTCCACCATGAGCTTTTTTTTTTTTTCTTGAACTAAAATAACGCGACTGCTTATTTTAATCGCATACACGATGGACTTCCGGTTTTGCTTCGCGTTCTTTTCACACACACACACACACACAGAAAAAAAAAAACACTCAAAACGTAAAAGTCATGAAATCAATTTGCACTCATTGCAGCTGCGGGTGTGAGTCTAAATAGTCCGGGCCCACGACCACGACAAAAAAAAAAAAAAAACATTCGCCATCTATGCGAACGGGGATACAATACAGATTTTTTTTTTTTTTGACAGCTCATCATCGATTTTTTTTTTTTTTTTTTCCAGAGACCCACCGTTTTTGCAAGCGATCCATTTGTGCAACGACATCGAAGCGTTGTCAGTCAGCTCGTCGCGACGCCCAAGCAACGTGTGCCCAATGTGTGTGTCATGCCAATGAATCGCGCATTCAGTTTCGGACGGGAACAGCCAGCGAAAGCTCGCTCGCCGCGCTGCGTTTGCCAAGAGCAGCCACGAGCCCTCCTTTTCCAAAAACCGCTACGTCTCAAACAAAATAAAAAATATATAAAGTATCGACATATATATCTGCATTGCTGCGGATGAATTGCTGCGCCGTATGTCACGTCGAACACACGTTTTGTTGCATTCGTCAGAAAATTCATATTTGGTGGATTCAAAGCGTCCGCGAAGATAATTCAAGACGCGAGGTGATTTCTTTTCTTTTTTCACCCCTTTTTCTTCTTTTATTTGAAATTCTCTGCACGTCTGACCGAGACACGGGTGCCAATTTGGGATTAACTCTTTCGCTGTGGAGGAGAAAAAAAAAAAAAAGTCCGACTGCGTTTGTAGATTTCGCTGCAGTCACCTTCTCCGTTTAATTACATCGTTCGAATCTGTCGCACAATGTTTTTCATTGTTCGCAAATTAATGTGTCTTTTTTCCAGACGAAGTGAAATATGACTGTATAAATAGGTCGTGATTTGGGGTCATTTCCTAGCCATCTATATGTGGAAACATCCCCCACAAATAAATGACATGATTCAATTTTTTCACGAGTATAATACGGAAAGTCTGTAATCAAAATATGTTCATGTTATTGGTGGAAAAAAAAAAACTTAAGAGCATGCCATTCGTACAACAACAACAACAACAAAAATGTTTACAAATAACGTGCCAAATACTAAAGCAGGCCCAAATAAATGCTTTCAAAAATTCTTTTTTTTGGGCGGTTGTTTATTTCAAGTGTGCTTTTTCTATTCTAACCTTGATGTTATATTGAACCAATTTAGAATTTTCAGATCAATTCAGAGCAATGTTCTCGGTCGTCCTGCTTTTATTTGATCAGGCAACTGTAAGACAGTTAAAAAAAAAAAAAAAATCAATCTTGTAGCCCATAATGCCTCACTTCAGGTTCTCGACGCCCCG